AATTTAGATATTTTACGGAAAATTTGACTTTTTGCATCATATTTCTTCATATTTTTATATTTAGATCTAAATGAAATTATCAAAAGAGTGTTTTTAACAGGAGTGTGCATTGTGAAATCGTAACTTGCCCATATGATAGAAAATTAGTTAAAATTTGCAAACTATGTGTTAACAATCAAATAGTGTAACGTCCGAAACACCCTTCTTGAGTTTACACAAAATTATTGGATTTGAAAGACCTGATTTGTGTTTTGACTTGTGTTAAGACTTATAATAACTTATTTCATAATGATTTATTCACTCCAGATACCCTCAAATATGGATTATCATCATTTATTTGGTATTTTTTGTTTCGGACGTTACATTTGTTTCGGACGTTACAACTGTTAACGGAAAATTGGTTTTAACTATACAATTGTACTGTAATGATGTATTGCAAATTTCTTTTTTTTGGTGGGTAGCCGCCATGAAATGTTTAAAAAATGTTACGAAAGATAGGTCCTGCAGTTCATATATTTTCTGCTACTTCAAATTGAAAGTTGTTTCGGACGTTACAAAATTGTTTACGGAAAATGAGACAACTTTTTCAAATTTTGAATATATTTATAATATAAGCGCTACTACAATTAAATTATATTTTCTTTTAATTTAATGACTTGGAGTAACTAATAAGCTTATTCAAACCATAAACAATCTCATTAAATGATTGTTCTAGTGGGTTAAATGAGGGCCTACATTGTTTACGGAAAATGTAACGTCCGAAACACCATTTTCAATTGCACTGTTCTATCAAAATACAGGAGTTAATTCAGATTACTGTTAACTTTCTTTAAGATCCACCCATTCTCATTAATCATCAATAGAAAAAAAAACATATTGCTTGTGGGTATATATTTTTTTCGGCCCCAACCAAAAAAAGGTATGTCAATTTTGTTACAAAATTCCGTAAACAATTGGCTGTTCATGGATACCTCATGCACATAAAGCAAAGCTGATTTTTTTTCGTTAAGCTATGGGAGGTTAACCTAGGTCCATGCTACAAGAAAAAGTTGCAACTGATTTCTAATTCTTTATCTTTGTAAAGTTTCAGGCTGTCAAAGGGTCATTAAGCTATTTGGTCATAGTTAAAAAAAAAACAGTGCCATAAACGTTTTAAACAGTATACATTGATGATGATATTACTTTAGTTCATGTTAAATACTCTAAAAGAAAAACAGAATTTGTTTTGTCTTCTTCTTTTTGTTTGGTTCGTATTTAATTTCACATTTTGTGGCGTCATATTCTGTTGAAACTGTTTAAAATATTCTTGAGCTTTTCTTTTTACCGATAATAGCAATCAATTCGTCAATCAAATCATTTAGTTATAAATAATATCGTTGGGAAAGTTAATGAATTTCTGAGATATTTTCGGATCATTTCATCTTCAATTAACTGCTGTATAGTCGTCTGCCGTTTGAATGTAGACAGAAAGAACAAGAAGCATGAAATCATATAATTAAGCTCATGAATTCAGTCTTTCATTTTTCTCTCTGCTTTTCCAATTGATGATCTTTATCAAACAGAAATGTATATTATTGTGTAGTTTATCAATAATTTAAAAGAAGAGGTATACAAACAAGTCATTTTCAGCACCAGGCTGACCCACTCACTTCAATTAAACATCGTAAATAACCTTTACTTAAAGAGAAGGTTGATTTTTGGGAAGAGGTGAAACATAATTTGTGAGCGTTATCATTGTATTATGCACGTGTGGAAGAACATTAGATAAAACATGTTCCCTGAAAAGCATGACTTTACCAAGACTGGGCCAAATCTCATATCATTTTGATGATTCCAGAACCTTGCAATACACACAAATACTTATATGGTAAATACTTATATGGCAACCTTTTCTGAGCGATTCCTCAATGTTCTTTTACAATGTAATCGCATGACCAGAACTCAACTTTGTCTTTAAGATTAGTTAATAATATTTTTCCAATTAATTTTTATACGTTAAAGGGTATGAGCATTACACTAACTGATTTGGACAATTTATGGGCCCCTCCTCTAAGGTCAATGGACACTGAGGAAGATTTGTATTCACAGCTCTGTAAAATTCGAGGCACCTTTGGAATTTATTCTGCACAATGATATATTATCAAATATATGAGAGGATATTATTTTGTTTACTGATCTGATCATATTCGATTTCTGAATCGCGTCTAATGTAAAGTCTACATCATTCATATCCAGTATTATTAATGCATTTTTGTTTAATTTGTTTCTTTGAAATTCATCACGTCGTCTGAAAACCTGTTCTAATACTTATATAAATGCAAAATAACCCAACTACATCTAATGTGTAAACATCAAGCATGAAGCTTTGGTAATGCCGCACATTTTTGATGTATTTAACTTAAAGGAATAGACCAGGTATGGTCATGCGATTGCATTGTGAAATAAACATTGTGGAATCGATCAGAAAAGGTTAATCATCTAGCATATAAGTATAGGTGTGTACTGCAGGGTTCTTGAATCATTAACGTGATAAAAAAAATTGGCCCAGTCTTGGTAAAGTTACAAACACTGTACACAGAAAGATGTATACGGGACTACGCGATATCTACCCAGGCCAGATCAATATGATAATGTACCAAATATATCAATTAGTAGGCGGTTTCCCAGCAAAATTTGTATCATCACGTATAAGTCAAAACATATTTTTTCATATGATTCGTAATAAGAGCTTCCATTTCGTTTTTTCAGAGGGGGGCATTTCCAAAACTGGTCTATAACTTTAATGCATGTAGATGTGACTTACACCAATGATTGTATATTCGAATCCTTTCACATATGATCGAGAAACCTCACCTAGCCTGCTGTAGACCGTTCACATTCAAAATATATTGTGGGAATAAACAACTCATGTGACAATACTAAATTGGCAAGTTGGCATGGGCCTAAAATACTGACCTACATCCCATCATAGCGAAAATTTAATAAGGTGGAAGAACTACTTTTAACCACTTTGAAATTGTTTTTCCGCGAAAGACGTACTCAGAAATAACAATAGCAACTTATTTGTGCAGTATCAGTTAATGGTCGGTCACACTGACGCATTTTCTAGCATCTGTATCATACATAATTCCCACGGTAGTCTTCTTTATGGGGAAAGCATATTTCCGAAGCTATTCAATTTCTTCGTCGATCTTCTTCAGTATCACGCACACACCACACCAAATATTGTCATTTGAATTGCGTCTATGTGAACGGGATGATTTTACACGCTTCGTGGCGTACCACGAATTAATGTCTTTCATACAGAAATACAACCACCTAGATTTCCATAGCTCGTAATGGAAAGCAAATAATACTTTTGTGATGATGATTGGAGAAGTCATTGAGCCGTGCTTCCCGACCTAACCAAACACGGACTGTTAACAAACATATCTGCACAACGGTACACATGCAGAGAGTCAATTCGTGATATACGTCTTTATGATATGTACAGTCATCTACAGACGTATTTATACACCTTGTAAATCTGCTTTTTGTGTTTTTCCTTACTATGAAATGAAACATTGACTGGAACCACTCAGGGCCGCTTTAATATGCTATATTCCCAAGAAACATGAATCGAGACAAATCAATTTTTCACATACTTGAACAACTACAAAACTAAATTGGTAAGGGTATGAATAATTTAGTTGTTAACTGTAAATATAAACGTTTCTATATGAAAAGTGAAGTGCGACATTAACTTCACTGTGTACTCAGATGACGGTTAGGTTACCTAGAAGGAGACTCCCCATTTTAAATCTGTATTCTCTCTTTCAATGACAAATGAAGTTAGTAATGGTCATCAAATAGCGTTGTGAAGAAAACAATGTCTAGACGTTTTTGTGGTTACGATTTGAGCAGTCATTGAGCCGTGCTCTATGACCTAACAAAGACGTTATTCTAAAAGTTTGATTGTGTTGGAGAAGAGAATAATAATGAGTTCTGAGGTTTCCAATCATCGAAAGATCATAACAAATCTATTGAATAAATCAAGCAGAAATCACCATTAAACAACAAAACCACTTGAAACCAAATAATGGTACATGGGAATATAAAGAAGCCTGTGATGTCAAACTTTAGTCTAGGATTGTACAAATTCTCTGGTTTTATTCGAGAAAAAAAATGAGAGCGCCTGAAGAATAATCATTCTATCGGTATATGCCATATAACTATAAAGGTTAACATTCCACATGGAAACAAGATCGGAGGGAAAGCTTACAAATTATCTTATTTTAATAATAATACTATAATAATAATACGTCTCGTTTACCCAGGGTAGCCTCATCAGTATTGTTCTTCTTCTGAGGACCTTGTTATCATATTATTACCAAAGCTTTACCTTTACATATAGCAAAAGTCATTCTTAAACTTTTTTTCTTTTTTTTACGCAATATCCACAATGGTGATCCTCCATCGTTCAGAGACACTAACCTAGTGCAAGACCTGGGACTACAGTGTGTCACAGAACAAAATTATGGCAGAATGTTTTATATTATAATTAATGATTTACTTGATAAGATATATATGTATGAAAAGCTCTGTTTCTCTTCTTTCTTAAGATGTATTACTTATCATTTATAGTTCAAGATGGTTGATTTAAAACAATGGTATTGGTACAACCAACATTTCATTTGCACCCACAAATTGCAAGTTTGAGTGATTTTTAGAGTGTTAAACGTAATCTTCTAAATAGAAAAAGAAAAACATCACGTGGGGATCCGTATATTTCTCTTTATATGACACCTCATGCGAAAACAAATGAATGAGCTAACCGTAACAAAAAGTTTCCGCCGGCTTCCCTTTTTGTGGGACACACTGTATTAGTCATCATCATGCTGCATTAGTCCCAGCTATGTGTTTCGAAATGAATTGTATTGACTGCTTCACTAAACTGAAAATTAAAAAAAAAAAATCAGCTTAAATAAAATAACTGGATCTGTATGTTTTTTTCTTTTCAGTCACGATTTCGACGAACACCGGCTCCCTAGCTTTGAAGGGTATTCTGTTGCAAGCTCGTCGCACTGGCACCGATCAAATCATCGGTACATGGTCATTATTGGGCACCACGGGTTTTCAAACGCTGGCGTGTAGCGGTGCTAATTCGGCTGTTACGCATACTAGTAATGCTGACAAACCGGCTGCTTTTCAATTTAGATGGACACCTCCTGATGTCAACGGAGATGATATCTATATGACGTAAGTAGGTCTACAATGCAATGCTAGCTCAAAGACTTTCGAAAAATCAACTTAAGGGCAATTTCATTACCCTTTGTCATGCCCCGTAGAACTCATGTTGCGATTACGTAACTAATATATCCGTGTCATGTTCGCACACTTCTAAATATGACGTACGAGGCCATTGGAATTTCCTAATGCTGCTTTTTCGAAAGTAGTTATGCCCTTGTTCAATGCGATATTCGGTCCACTGTTGAAGTTTTGAGGTCGGTGTTACGCCATTTACACCAATGAGGCCGACACCAAACCGACAACAGACCGAACAAAACATGGAATCACTTCATATCCAAGATTTCGTCGGTTTGGAGGAGGGGTGGAGTAGTAGGTTTGGAGGTGTCAGTGAAGTACAGTGTATTAGTGTATTGAGATCTATTATTTGAGTCATTAATGTATTTATGATCATGTTCATGGCATCTTCAAATGCTAAATTTATTTGATGAAGATGGACATTTTCACTTTAAGAATATAAGTAAGATAGTATGGAAAATTATTGACACCCTTCATTTACTTCTTAATGGAGATGACGGTTGAAAGTTTTATATTTTCACATGAGATGGTTTGTTTTCTTTCTTTCATCTGCACTTTTAGGGCAACATTTGTCCAGACAATGCCAGTCTTTTGGGTTGCAGAGAGGACAAGCAATATTCAATGTAAGTCATGTTTCATGTCTTGAATTTAAAAACCGCAGTTCGCAGAAATGTTAGAAGATCATGTATGTATGAAATTGAAATATGCTCAATTAGGAAGCGATAATTCAACATACATTTGACTTGTGTGGTTTGAAAATAATCGTATTTGTATACCTGTCTTTGTGTTTCCTTCAAAATAATTGTCAAACTAATTCTCTGTTTGTTATTGTGCTAAAAACAAGTGTACGTCCCTTGCATGTTTTGTAGTAGAAAGAAAAAATCGTTAGCACACATTATCTGAGCTTTGTGCCTTACGTACCGGTTATCGTACGAATCACTCACTGTATATAAACCTAGAAAGAAAATGTAGAAATACTATTTCGCTAATATCCTCTTATATAATATTTGTTGTAGCACTTACTTTAATCACACCAACGAGTAATTTTGACAGAGCAAGGGAGTATCACCCTTCCCCTCCTATTGATGCTCCTGGTAGCATATTACATAACCTAGTGCAGCAGCAACAAAATAGGCAAATGTTTATCTTTTTTCTCTATAGTTATTAATGTAGATATATTTAATTTGTTTTGTACTTTTAGTTCGAAAACACATTTCATTAATCACAACATGTACTAATATATATTATTAACGAATTAATATATTTATTTTTGTGCATGTTTTGTTTTATGGTTTAAACTGATGTTTAATCCTGAGAACTGAAAAGTAGACCTACCTTTTGCTTCTCTGTGTTATTTGTTTGGTAATTCCATTTGTTTATGTCTGCTTTTGTCTCGCTAACAATGTTACTGTTCTCACAGTTTTTGTTTCTGTTCCTCTCTCTCTCTCTCTCTCTCTCTCTCCCTCCGTGCATGGCATGTGTGTACATGCACCTTTTAACATACTTGTACTCTAATCAAAACAAAAATTTGCTGTATGCTAGTGGAGACATGCAACGCGAACGGTGCCAAGCTATGTGGTGCTAATGGCAACTGTGAGAGTCTTATAGGAGGTGGTATCAATTGCGTCTGCGAGGAAGGATACACCGGAATCCTATGCACAAGTAATTCAATCCTATTTATATCCCTTAATTTTAACTCAGTGGTACTCACAATGGAGATGTTTCTGAAGATACTTTTCCTATTTCACACTAACGTAGATGTAATTTGATTCTAAATTTAAAATATAATTTTGTTAACTTTGATTAAACTTTGAAATGGTAAAGAAAAATGTAAAACTGATCGTGATGTCTCACATGAAGATGATATCGATATTAAGAAACATGTTGATGAAAACAAAATGGACATCTGAAACACGATAGCCTTCAACGGTTTACAATCTGTAAGGTTATTGTAATATAACATGAATAACAGTTACTAGTAGATTATACACACATCCCTCGTTTTGCCCAGGACTAGGAAGCAGATCGAATTAAAAAACTACATAAATATATTCCATTCCATTTCGACTTTGTTAAGAATGAGGAAGGATAAGCCTTTAACAAAATTGAACAAATGCACCTGATCATTGAAACGATGATCATAATGGAATAAGCCTAACATTAATTTAAGAACATTCTGAAAGAAAATAAGTTAACTTGTAGCCCCGGCCTTGCTTATTATATCAAGTATCAAGTACATTTTTTGAAGTTTTAAGTTATGGTGTTCCTGATTTATTCTTAGCTACACTTGAGTAAGCATCAATTTTCCGTGGTCCCTGCCTGCGTCCACTTTTATCATTACGTAATATTAATCTCTAGTATACATACTTGCCTATGTAGTGGGTCCTTGCGATTCGGATCCGTGCGTCAATGGAGGAACCTGTACTTACTCTGCTGGTGATACAACCTTCACATGCTCCTGTCCTCCCCCTTTGGGAGGACCCACATGTCAGACAGGTAACTTGATGGCTGTCTTTAACTATTTCCACACTCTTACCTCAGTCACACCAAATAAACCGACACCAGACCCAGCATAAAATCATATTACCCCGACTTGCCTGGATTCAGTCGGTTTGGAGTCGGAGCGGTGTCAGTTTGGCGGTGTGACTGGAGTATATCGCCTCTTTCATTCATTTCACTTATCACTACAATTTCATAAACATTGCATTTCATCATAGCAATATAAACTAGACATCTGTTAAAATGGAGCCGATAAATATTAAAAGCTGTTCCAGGTAAATACAAACCAGTTTACATTTAAATGAATGGCAAAATAGAAACCAGGTGCACGTAACATGTCTTAACAAGACTTTAGGGTAAACATGTAGAATCTATCGTGAAACAGCACACCAGAGGGTCCAAATTTGAACCCTCACAGTGCTTATTTGCACCTCTTTTGGTTCAATACTGCACCATTCTTAGGCAGACTTCGTCCGTGGTGCAAGCTTACACCAGAAGTGATTGAAGGGGTACTGATATTGTACCGTATCTGGATTAAAGTTTGAGGCTTCATTTCTTATTGTGTAGAGCCATTTGTTCATTTCGACATATCATTCATACTATACAAACTGCGTCCAAAGTGCTCATTCACTCATCATTATTGTGTTCGTTTGTGCCGTAATCTTGTAAATGGGCCATTTTCGTAATGTAACCAAATTAATGCATAAGTCTTTGTGAAGTGCCTCAATACAAATTATTTCATTCACCTGATAAACATAATAGTATTTCAATAGACAGAATCCGAACTGAATGCATTAGTTGTTGCCAGGTAGGACAAACATTATGGCTTTACCTACCTAGCAACACTTGATATGAAGTTTGCATTCTGACTATTGAAATACTATTATTCTTATCAGGTGAATGAAATAGTTTGTATTGAGACGCTTCACAAAGAATTATGCCTTAAATTTGGTTACATTACGAAAATGGCCTATTACACGTGCTTTCAATATTAAATTTCCATTTTTTAACGTACATTTATTATCATTACGTTTATCATAGTTTTACCTTTGACGTTTCTTGTGATCATAAGTAGCATGAAACCAATATCCGTCTCAGTGTGTTATTGAAATTATCATTTGTATGCTTGTACCGCTATATACATGTACATCTAAGCTTTGAATATCCCTGCATGTACTAAACTAGTGTAGCAGCATTCTTTTAACAATTTTAATGCAATGTAGTCTTAACGCTTCGAAACCTTAATCATATTCTTCATCAATATTAATTTATAAATTGAAGTCCGTTTAAATGGCAAAGGCCTAATAGGTAGAATATATATATTCGCTTTGCAAGAGGTAAACATTTCATTTTCAACCCATTTGCCTTGCTTATTCATAGAAATAGATCCATGTGCTAATATCTCTTGTGAAAATGGAGCTACCTGTAATCCAGTGCCTAACTCTTTAAACTACACGTGTGAATGTGCGATTGGATTCTCAGGAGAACGATGTGAAACAGGTCTGTATTTCAAACAGGAAACTAATAACACATTTTCATTTTGAGATATTGTTATTTTTATATATGTTGTCCTGGTTCATATATTTCTACATGTTTCCCTTTACAACCATAATATTTATAATGCATAATTAGCATAGATCAATGTGTTAACAGCTTTTGTGAAAGGGAGCTACCTGTATTCCAGTTCCCAAGTCTTTAAAACTTCACTTGTGATGGCTTGTAAAAAAGATGTAGGCACTTCAGATTATTACGCTTTTCATAGAAACATTAATGCTATTGCTGCTACGTTATTAAATGTATATAAATATGTTGTAATGTTTTTAACCTCTAAAACTTAAAACCAAAGTATATAGTCAAATGTTTGTGTTTGTGTTACATGTTTAACATCTTCAACTTAAACTCTTCTATGTCCTATGAGTTTTGTACGTGCTAGTGTTACTCGAATGTTGCTTTGCTTTCAATCATTACCTTCGTATATGTCTAACCTTGTAGAAATAAACCCTTGTGATAACAATACCTGTCAAAATGGCGCTTCATGTAACGCTGTAGTCGGCTCTTTCATCAACTACATGTGTGAATGTCCTATTGGATTCATCGGAGAATTTTGTGAATTAGGTTTGTATTTTTTTTCTTGTATTCACTTCTTTTCAAACTTATTTGAACTTTTCTCAGTGTTCTCCTCCGGTTGTACATGTACATGAATATTTTTAACAGTATCATTACTTCATTTATAGGCCCAGTTATATAAACTAAACATGCACTAATATATGTTATTAATATATTAATATAATTATTTTGTGCATACAATATGTATTGTTTCATCGTTTAAATTGATTTATCATCCCTGTAACTGGAGACATGTCTGTTCTTGTCAGAATAATGTTTGTATTTAGTTAGTGCCAGCGTATTGCACAACCCTTTTTATGCTTCTATTTTATTTGTTTGGTAAATCGGTTTGGTTATGTCTGCTTTTGTCTCGCTAATAATGTTACTGTTCTTATAATTTTTGTTTCTCTGTGTGTGTGTGTGTGTATGGCGTATGTGTACATGCACCTTCTTACTTCATGTGTACTTACTTTTACTCTGTCCCAAACAAACATGTGCTGTATGCTAGTGGAGACATGCGACACGAGCACTGCCAATCTATGTGGTGCTAATGGCAACTGTGAGAGTCTTGTAGGAGGTGGTATCAATTGCATCTGCGAGAATGGATACACCGGCACCCTGTGCACAAGTAATTTAATCTAATTTGTATCAATTAGTATTTACTCAGTGGTACTCATAATGCAGATGTATCTGAAGATACTTTTCCTATTTCACACTAACATCGATGTTATATGATTCTTAATTCAAAATATAAATGATTCTACGAGCCAGCAAGAAAAGTATTATCGTATTCGAATAACACGACTCTTTATTTATTCAATTTAAATTAACATTCATTTAGCCTTTCTTGTTTTTACCTCATATCGTGTTGTTACCGCTAAATAATATTTGACAACATTACTTCCGTAATGCTTTTGGACGCTCCTTTAAAGAAATTAATGTTCAGAGAAATGTGAAATGCATAATTTATTTGTTCCTATTACGAAGTTTAGTGTCAACTTTTAACATCTTCACATTCTTGTAACATGGCGCCTTACCGGAACCACCCTTCGGAAATGAGCTTGTGTGGAATAAAAATTGAATCGAGTGACCGGGGTAATGATAAATATGATGTAATTACGATACCTTAAGCGGGAAAAAAAAGGTCACTGTTATTATTCTACATTAAAATCGTTGTAATGTATTATCCTTTGTCCGACCCCTAAGTGCCGCCAATTTTTGGCCCTTGTGACTCAAGCCCCTGCCGTTTTGGGGGCACCTGCATCCCAAATGGAAACAACTTTACTTGTAACTGTCCAGCTCTGACTAATGGAACAACATGTGAATTGACATGTAAGTGTGTCTTAAGGAGTTTTTTTTTTAAATAAAACTTTGATGTTTTCATCCGCGTTAAACTTTGAAATGGTAAAGAAAGATGTAAGACTTATCGTGATATCTTCCATGAAGATCAAATCGTTATCATAAAACATGATGATGTTGATGAAAACAAAATTGTCATTTGAAACACAATAGCTGTTGACAGTTAACGAAATAAGTAGGATTACTGTAATATAAGACGAATAACAGTTAGATTGTACACACAACAGTCGTTTTGAAAGCAGATGGAATTAAAAAACTACCCAAATATGTTTTCATTTGGAAATATTGTTATTCTAATATATGTTTGTACATGTTTTCCTTAAAGCCACACTGTCCTACTTGTAGCAACTTGCTCCCTATATGTAGAAGACAATGCCTAATCGGTGACCATTGGTCCCCCATGATCCTCTTTTTTAAATGTTAATTGAGAGCTGAGTTGATGAGATAACCACCTGTCCAGTGATCTTACAGGGCGGTCTAATCCCTGCTATAAACTAGTACAGATAGGCTTTATCAACCATCATATTATTGTCATGACAAACCAAAACACAGAATTTTATCATGCTTGAGATATTTAAATAAATTCTCTGCTTGTTAAATGTAAAGTAGCAATTAGAGGGAAATATAACTTTATGTTACATCAAAACAATAAATGCTAACATCCCTGTCTCTTCCTATTAACAATGATGTAAAGTGTGTACTAAACTGTATTAGATTGTTTTAGATTGTGCTCATTTGTATCAGTTTTTTCTTAGATCATCAATCCTCACTTCCTCCGCTTTTAACGCTTTGTCCTATTTATCTGTATATACGCATAGATCAATGTTCTAACAGCTCTTGTGAAAACGGGGCTACCTGTATTCCCGTTCCCGAGTCTTTAAACTACACTTGTGATTGTTTGATTGGATTTTCTGGAGAAAAATGTGAAACAGGTGTGTATTCGCGGGAGGAAATCTTTCATACCCTTTGAAATCAAATTAATCATGTGCATTACCTATTGTGCATTTCATATTTCTACCGAACGAAAATTAGATACGGACGTAGTTATTTTTTATAATGAAGATCAACTTTGCTTTAGATTTCAAAACCGAAATACCATATATCTAAAACGTATTAATGGAGATATTTATACAAAATAGAACTCGATATCTCCTATGTTTTTGCTGAAACGTATCAAGGAAATTAGGTTTGTTTGAATATACTGAGATTATGTGGCAAGCGTTAATACGCTTTGGAGTGGAATAATCACCTAAACAACTTTAATGTTGAAACATCCATAGGATAAAAATGAGGTCGTGGGTTCGATCCCCGGCCGAGTCATACCAAAGACTTATAACAATGGGACCTTCAGCCTTCTAGGTAGGCGCTCAGCATATTAGATTGGAGAAGGGTAATAGTAACATGTTATGTTATGCAGGGCCCGCTGGGAAAGCAGTTTCATAACTGAAGTGGCTCCCCTGGGTAAATAAAACGTTATTATTATTATTATTATTATTAAATCACAACATACTTCAATCTTGTCTTGGCGAATA